GCGACAACGTTAAGGTGTATGGCAAGGGTGAAGTCCACGAAGCCCATATAAAACCTTCTGTTCAAACTGAGCCACCAAAAGAACAAGAAGAAAAGAAGCCAGATGTACTTTCAATAACGAACCAAGAGCTTATTGCAAAGTTCGTGAATTTCATTGAAAAACAAACCGAGTCAAAGAATCCTGACCCGCCAGTGAAAGAAGTTGAGACAAAAGAGAATGTACAGTTCATTGAAAATGTCAAGAAACAACTTCCACCACGAATGCCAAGAAGAAGAGTGAGAATAATGAAGTAAATAGATATTTTTATCTGAAGTAAATACATGCAGAACGAACAGCTAAACGAATTTACTCCAGCAGAGCATATTCATCAGATTCGCTCATATTTCGATATCATAGACAATGCAGTTCAAATTGGTGACACTAATAGAAAATATTCTGACGCAAAGATTCCATCACAACCTGGAACTGCTAAAGATAACACATGGGTAACATTCAATCTCTCACCTCCTGGTGAAAATATGTTGGACCTTTACAATACATTCATTACGTATAAAATGGAAGGTCAATTTATTGTAGATAAAGAAATTGGTTCAGGTTCCAATAAAACAAACCCACCAGGATTTTGGATTGGTTTCGATGACGCTTTCTATGCAGTTGCTGGATATCAAATCCTTGCAAATGGTCGTATCGTATATTCTCAAGACAACGCAAGAGAAGAAGCATATATAACTTCAAACTCACAAACTACCGAACAAATAAAGAAAGTAGATGTTTTCTCAAAGACTCGACATGAAGATGTATGGAGTCATTCGGGAACATGCAGAACAGGACAAATTGTTAGTGGTCCAATTACAGCAGGAAAGTCATTTGATTTTAAGCTTCGTTTAAGAATTCCTGTTAGAAGATTCCTTCCATTAGAAGCTATTCGATTTATTCCAGCTTTTGCAGGAAACATTCAGCTTAAAGTAAAGTTCAGTAGCGACGCCTTACAATGCACATCTATATCTGTAAATGATATCATTGCTTTCAATCCAACTCTTAAAGTTGCATTTGCTTCAGATTCAAATCCACCGACAAATAAATTTGTTCCATGGAATGAACCATTCACTATGATAACGAAGGCAATAGAAGCTAGTGGAACAGTTACTATTACAACTGTAACCCAGCAACTATTTCGAATAAAGATGGATTTTAATGAATGTTTCATTCATCCAAAATCATTCTCTTTAGACCCTAACATTTATACAGAACTTGTAGAACATTATACAAACGAGGCTTTATGTTTTCCTGTTAAAGTTATGGATTGGATTCCTATGGACGGTTCATTCTCAAAGAATACAGATAGTTCAAGTGCAACATTTACAGCAGCTTATACGCCTATTAATGTTAAAAGTATTTGGGCACTATTTAGAAAGAAAGACAACTATTATGTTAATTTTGAGAACCCTAAGTTTAAATATCTTCAGCTTTCCATGGGAGCTTATGGAAATATGCCTGCAGAACCTGAAAAATCATATGGACCTGTATTTTATGAAATGGTTGCGAACGCTTGCAATACAAACAATGATATGATTGGATTTAATGAAGATGTTATGAGGTCATTGGTGGATGATGGTAGTGTGGAACATAAATGGGATAGCTATGACAACACACATTTCTTATGTGGTTTTCCAACAGAAGTGGACTTTTGCTTCCAGCAAGGTCAAACATCTACTGCTCCAATAACATACAAATTGTCTGTTAAAGGACCTATTGAACTAGCAACTGAAAATGTACCAAAGCCACTTATTGGATTTATGAGGGATTGTTGCTTTGCCATTCAGGTGCGTGCTAATGGCATCCCCATAATAAGATTAGATGACTATAACTTAGCTACGGACGACAGTGAGGAATAAAGGATGAACGTTTATTTTTAAAGCTTATAAATGAGTTCTTCATCAAGCTCTCGTGAACCTTCACCATCTATGAATCAAACTTTACCAAACGATTATGGAGCACCTATTGAATATTTCTTACGAGCTGCACAATGGCAAAGAGCAGTCTCACCAAGGTTAGGTGTTCCACCAGCTCCTGTCAAAAATAGCATTTGGTCAAGTCCTTATATAAGATATGGTCTCCCACTAGGTTTGCTAGCTACAGCAGGAGCAGTTATGATGTTGAAAAGAAATAAAGCAAATGTTGTAAATAATACTGAAGTAGCTGAAGTTAAACAAACTCCAACACCTTCACAAGCAAAACCTTCAATGACTCCTGAACCTATGGAAGTACAAACTCCTGTTCAAAAGTCAACTCCTAAACCGACTCCAACATTTAAACCAGAACCTACTCCTCAAATAAATCGTAAAACTCCTGCGTTTCCTTACTGAAAAAATAACGTTATTTTTATTTTATTTGAACATTTTATTTAGAGTAAAATGACGACTAAAGTCACTGAAGCAATGAAACAAAAGTTTTTGGTAGAATACATTAAATCAGGAACTATTCCAGAAGGTTTTTACGTTCATACTATGAAGGATGGTAGAGTTCAGTTTAGAAAGATAAAGCAACCGTTAGATAGAGAAGGTATATTAAGGAAGATTAAACTTCATGAGGACAACATTGCTGAACTTAGGAAGAAGTTAGAAGAGTTGGAGAAAGCAGACGACAGTGAGGAATAAAATATTTCATTAGTTTTATTTTTACTGAAAATTTTTATTTGGATGTAATGACGAAAACTATTGAGATAACAAACTACAACGGTCATGAGTTCAAGAATTTGTTCTTCGTTCCTCGTGAAAATACATTCTATCAGATACGAGGGAGAAAGGGTAAAGTTAGTTTGAGCGTTTATGACTACAAGCATAATGGAAAGTTTATACAAGCATATGATACAAACGGTAAGCGTGTTTCATTAGCTTTGTCAAAACTTACTAACATTTATTTTGACAGTGATTTTGACCTATATGAAGAAGAAAGTGAGTCAGAAGATTATGAGCTGTTATGTGAAGCACAGCAATGGGAGGAGTTGCAATACTTTTGTAAGTGAGAACGTTTATTTTTACATTAGTGAGGTGAAGTGGTTGGCGGCTTTGTAAATATTTAAGGTTAAGTTAGTGTTGTCGTTTGTGTTGTAAAATATACGTTAACGGTTTCGTAAAGTGTCAAATTCACATATAATGGGTAAGGAGGCGCGCAGTGCCTCCGTACCCATGATATGTATACTAACTCTCGATGCTGTCACAAAAAGAGTTCTTGCATGCGTGAACATCAACCATATTGGTGGAAACAGACAGCATGCTCAGTATTCCGGAGCTTCCAACAATATGGAAAGTGCTGGAACTCGAATCATCTTGAAGCAATTAAAGAAATACAATATCTTGAAAGATGTTAAAGAGATTATTAAAGACCGAGATAACAAAAGTGTCTCTGTCTTTAAAGAATTTGGCGTCTCTCATCTTGAAAGATTCGATCCAGGTCATGTATCAAAAAATATCTCAAAAGATTTTACAAAGTTCTCAGCTTCTCATAAGACAGTTGAAGTTTTCAACGACAAGACTCAGAAGATTGAAAAAATAGAGAGACCTTTCTGGGGTCTGAATGCAAGCCTAAGTATGTGGCTTTGGTCATGTTTTGCCGAAGAAAATATTGACAAACGTCCGAAAATGTGGGAGAATTGTGTCTACCATTACGTAGGCAATCATTCTTTTTGCGAACCGCACAATTACAAATGCTTTGAATGGCAAAAAGGTGTCAATTTGATCCAACTTCAATTCATGCTCTATGACTGGGTTCACAAATGGACACCCATAGTTTCCAAAGTTTCTTCCATTGGATCTACCTGCATGAATGAAGCGTTTAACTCCAAAATTGCATGCTATTTGGACAAATCAAGAGCCTGGAAGAACATTAACATTAGAGTTAACGTTGCAATCTTAGAATGGAATGATCCAGAGCATTTTCTCGGAGATATACAAAAAGCATTACATCTTCCCCCACTTCCAGAAGATTGTGTCAAATCATTTGAAGAGAATTGTTACTCCAAAATGATATTGAAACAAAAAACTGTTACAAAAGGTTCTAAAAAACAGAACAAATACAAAAAATCCATTCAGAGTGTACCAGGAGGAGATTATCAAGTTTTCAAGTCCGAATGGGAATCAGAAGACGAAGACATTGATGACTTTGATTAACGAAAATTACATTTTATTTATTGTTTTTGTTTTTAATTAAATTATTATTATGCTCATTTTCTTATTTTGATTTTTTCTCATTATGATATAAATAATTTATTAATGCATTTATCCAATAATTATGCTATGATATTTTTATGCCTTATTTCATTTCTCTTATATTTGATAATCTGGTAAAATATAGTTCAGACTATAATCATTTTAGATTATTGATATATTTATATAGGTTAGAATAAAATTAGTTTCATTTTCTACTTTTATTTTGAATTAATAATTTATAATATCAAATATTATGGCGTAACCTCTCCTTTAAAATATAGATATATATAGGCCTATAGAGTTTATTGGCACTCTCAAAACTCTAGAATTTTGAGTTTACTATACCCTTAAGATGCCGGTTTCGTTACACATGTCTCTGAAATATCCGTCATCTTCATACTGTTTAATAAATCCATCAAGCGCTGAATCATTTGCACTCATTTGGGTATGACTAAATAAAATTTGACATGAAAATTGAGTCAAGATTTCACATTTATCAAATTAGAATCAATAACATATTAACACATGAACATCTAATTTGTGTGATTCTTTCAATTTTTCAATGGCGCTCTTTATTTGTTCAATTTTGACTTATTTCCCCCTTGAAATTCATTGAATGAAACCTCGGGCATTATATTTTCTTAACGAATATAGTACATTCTACGCATATAATGAAGACTAAACCACGAAAATGCAATTATTCAATATATTTCTGATAGGAAATCAAAAAGCTTTAATGTAATTTATATTCGAACATCGTTGATTTGATATTTTATTCAACACAAAATAAATTTAATTTTCATCTACTTCTTCTTCCTCGTAAATTTCCTCTTCTTCCTCTTCTTCTTCCTCATCTTCTGCATCCTCTTCATCTGTTGCTGTTGCAGTGACCTCTACAAACTTCATCGCGTTGTCATTTCCAGTGTTGGAGACTTCAACAAATTCCGCTGATTTCGGATTTGCTGTAATTAACTCTGTAACGCTTGTGAATCCTCCCGGAACCTGGGCATGGCCTGTTGTGGATGTTTTATGACGGGAAGAAATGGAATAGCCAGAACCAGAATTTGTGTTTGTTCCAGTTCCTGTTTTAGTTCCGGTCCCAGTACCTGTATGAGTTCCGGTGTTTGTGTCAGATTGTGTTGCAGTATATGAGTTTGTAGCAGAATCTTTTTCAGATTTGACCGAGCGAGATTTGCTTGAGGCCTTGGATGGTGTAAGAGAAGTTTCTGGAGGCATTGCATATAATGGACCTTCTTCAAGTCCGCTTTGCGGAGCCTTATGATCAAATAATCCGAGATCTCTTTCTCTTGTTGCATCTTCTAAGCCAGGAGGTGGAGGAAGTGGATGAGTGTACATAACATTACGTCTGCGCTTCGGATAAATCTTTTCACGGCTAAGATAAACGTATCTTCTGAGTTCTTCTTCTTTCTTTGGATCATAAGGTTCTTCTTCTGGTTGAACTGCTGCATCAGCAAGTCCAACTTTAATATCACGGCGGCGAGGAACTGAAATATAGTCAGGGAAAAGCTCTTTTGCTGGAATTGGAACTCCGAAGTCATCTGTAGCTGTATCAACAGTTGTAGAATCCTTAGTGTCGATCATAGACATCTCTTCTGCCATTGTTGTAGTTATTGTAACGTCTCTATATTTCGAAAATTCTGATGGTCCAGCTGGTTCTTCGAATCCGAGTGCGGTAAAAGTTTGATCTTCCGGAACATTCTGTTGCGGATTTAATTTCAACAATTCAAGAGCTCTCTTTTTGACTGCCCATTTATGATGTTCTCTATCATAGCCTTTATGATGATGGTGTGGGTGCTCACGCTCTTGCTGAGTAAATGTTGAAGTTGATTCTGTTGTCATTGTTGGAAAATTGGTTAATTCTGATTGTGTGACTGGATAAATTTCTTCATGAGTTGCTGTAGATTCAGGAAAGACGTCAGTTCCAGCAACAGCTCCATCTTTATGTTTTACAATGCGATGTTTCTTACTTTGTTCATTATTTGAATGTTGATGTTTGTGTGGGAGATAATTTCCGTTTTCATCACGCTTTCTGCAAACTTTTACACGAATTCTTGTTGTTGATCCAGTAGCAGAAGCCGTTTCGGAAGCGTTGTTTTGGCTAGTATAACTGGAATAAGTCTGTGTAGTTCCAAAAGTTGTATATGATGGATATGTATACTCGTTTGATGATTTAGTATTTGACCGAGAATGGTGAGAATGATGTGATTTGGAACTCATAAATGCTTATTAGTTATTTTTCGGTTATAATTCAATTTTTTTTTTCAAGTCTAAACGTTATTTTTGCGTTTACTTTTTTTTTACAATTGTATTGACAGCAGAAAGAAGTCATCAGACCTATGGATTGAAAAATCAGTTTCGTGATTAAAATTCTGATATCTATTGATTTCTCTACATTCAGATTTGAGATTCTTCCTTGCAGAGACTATCATAAAGATGCTTAGTTATATTCATAATATATGATCCAAATATATATCAATGTATGTGATAATCCTCATATTAATTAACATTTTCGATAGTTTGCTAATACATCCACGTAATAATGTTTAAATCATTCATACATAAGACTCTACAAATTTTCAAACAATTTTTCTTAAAAATCACTCTAATACTTCATTTCAATTCAGATCTTTACCAAAATTAGGTATTTATGGGCGTGTATTCATTTTTTATTCAAAACTCAGACCATAATTTTAATTTATTATATTTTAATTTGATTTGGTTATGTTCTGTTGCAGTGAAAGAAGAAATTCTGATGTTTCTTTACCATTATCTCACTCGGCTCTATGAAGAGATGTTTTCACATTTTTTACATTTCATCGATATTTGTGCCATGCAAAATAAGATATTCGGTAATTTCTTTATTATTTTTGACTGTTGAAAAATAAAGAGCGGTTTCTCCGTCATTAGTTTTTTGATTAATATTTGCACCATGTGAAATAAGATATTCAGTCATTACTTTAGAATTAAAAATTGCTGCATCATGAAGAGCGGTTTTCCCTTCTCTATCCTTTTCATCGATATTTGCGCCATACGAAAGAAGAAGTTCGGTTGTTTCTTTACTATCATTTATTGTTGCAATATGGAGGGCTCTTTTTCCATTTTCATCTTGCTCATCTATATTTGCTCTATGCGAAAGAAGAAGTTCAGCTGTTTCTTTACTATTATTCCTTGCCGCATAATGAAGAGCGGTTTTTCCAAAATTATCTTTTTCATTGATATTTATACCATGTGAAATAAGAAGTTCTGCTATTTCTTTATTATTATTCCTTGCCGCATAATGAAGAGCGGCTTTCCCATATTTATCTTTTTCAGTGATATTTATACCATGTGAAATAAGATATTCGGCAATTTCTTTATTATATCTTTCTGTTGCAAAATGAAGAGCGGTTTTTTATATTGATCTTTTTGATTAATATTTGCACCATGTGAAATAAGATATTCGGCAGTTTCTTTACTATTGTTATATGCCGCACAATGGAGAGCAGTTCTTCCATCATAAAAACATGTATTGATGCTTAAACCACATGAAAGGAAAAATTCGCAAAGGGATGGAATATTAAACATTGATGAATAAGCAAAGCATTTGTTAATATCATTAGTTTGATCGAAAAAAACCAAAAATGCAGCAAGATTATTATATTTTCCGCAATCATAGATTGAAATACGTAATTCGAACTCATTCATCAAGAATGCAACAAAATCAATGTTATGCGAAATAATCGCAAATTCCATGCATTCATAATCTGGTTTCTGATATTTCAAACACTCACTCATGATCTCCTGATTTCTTCCTAAAAATGAAAGAATTAGACACCATTGAGTTATTTCTGATTTAAATTTAGTTCTTAAAAACTTAAAACAATCAACTGCTCCATGATAACAACAAAATTCAAGTAATGTATATCCAGGATGTGGATATAAACTGCATTTAAGTATTCGATTTTCATTAAATCCTTCTTTTTCTGTGAATGCGATGAATCTTTTTAGATCATCATACATAATGGCTCTGTAAATTGTATTTTCTGTATGAATATCAGGGTTTTCAAATTGAATTTTTTCGAAATCAACAGACTTGTTTAATTTAATTCCATATTTTTTGAAAAACAAGAAGCTTGAGATAGGTATAACATTGTTGACCTCCTTGACTTGATATTCATCAGATATGAGTTTGGCAAGATATAAATATGAATTTGCATAGCGATTATTATAGGGAATTATCTCCAAAATATCTTTTATTATATTTGTGGGAAGAGATTTCTTTGAATCAATAAATTCTGTCTTGATCTTGTTGTAAATTAAGTTTAATTCTTCTTCTTTTTCCGTTTTCAGGTTATACAATGCATGATATGAGTCAATGTAGTATTTGCATATACTTAGCAATTTGATGTATTCCTTTGCATGGCTGTCTTGATTAGACATTAAAAAATTTACCACCATTTTTACACTTTTTGTATTCAATTTTTTTGTATAGAAAATAATCCTATGTTGTAAAATTTTTACATTTGCCATGTTAAGCTACGAATGATTGCATGCGATACACGAGAATAGTATGCCACATTTTAATATCTTTGCATTTTCGTGTATTGCATGCATTCTTTGGTAGGTTCGCATCTGGTGAATTTTTTACTAGATATAAGGATCCTGTGATAGTTGCTCTTTCACAAGCATATATTATTCTATTTTAAAGAGATTGTGATATTTTGTATTCTGCGACCTTTAAAGAGATTAATCTCTAACTTTGAAGGGGTTGAAACAATTTTAGGCGGTTTTTGTCGAGATGCCGAAGTACAGAAAGGTTTAAACTCACAAATTATATATCATACTTATAACCAGATTAATAGAACTAATCAAACTTGATGAAATAATGAACTTTAAAAATTAAATTGTAAACTATTCAAATTTTCAATACGGGATGAAATTCAGAAGTTTATACCATATGATCCAAATTGTGGCTTTTCCCTTGGCCCAGAAGAGGGCACAATTACCTAAATCATAATCTCCTAAGAGTTTTGTAGGAAACATCTATATTACCTCAAACGTAGATGTAACCTTATTGAAGAAAATTTCAGAGAATATTCCAGTCATCAATACAATTTTATAAAAATGAATGAACCTGCAGCTTTTGCTGCTTGCAGGCCATTTTATTACCTAATTTGCAGCGCAGAACTTGTCTATCTAATAATTGCTTTATTAAATGTCTTCATTCTAGGCCAATCTATGTTATATATAATTTCATTTTTTGATACTGTCGAAATTCCGTATATTGCAACTCCACAGCTACAAATAGGGCAAACCCCAATCCCGACACCTATTCCTAGGCCATATGGTGACGATGATGCAAAGAAATTAAAACAAATCAAGAAAAACTTCAGAACGATTTATTTCGAATATCTCAAAAAGGCAGAATTGCATGATTACTTACTGGTAGACTTTCCATACCAATCAGATTTTTATAATTTATCATTAACTTTATTAGAGTCATTACCTACGCTTGCAATCATGGGATTTACGAAGGAAATCAACAGAAGAATTAAGAAATTGAATTTCTCCCAGATATATATGCCAAAAACGTTCTCAAGATCAGATTTTGTTGGACAAGTCATTTCTCCGCTTATATCCCTATATGACTTAACATCAGCAACTGAATCAACATCACTTTTGTCAAAAATTTTTAAAACATTTTCATATTTACCAAAAAATTTTGACGTTAGTGACAAAATGGTCGCAGATTTCCAAGGAATCTCAGCATTTTCAGACGATCCATACCTAGAATCGCATTTAATTGGTTCAATTCAACTCGAATATCTTGGATTTCATAAATTTTTCAGAGATCATCAAATTTACGATTGTATGTTAAGCCCTTTTATCACATTCTTCGGAGGAAAGACCAAAGGACTTATCTGCGATCTTGCACTGATCAAAGACAAGAAACTTTTTGAAGATTCTTTTTCTTTGTCACAATACGGCCGTAGTTACTTAGATTACTTCATAAAAACCGATATAATAACAAACCATTCATCCCCACAATTAAATGCCCGTTTTGGACATTATTACGATGAAATGAAGAATTTAAGTTTAATTCATGACGGATTTTTCCTTAGAATGAGGAATGGAACAATAATTGATGAAGTTCTAATGGATGAAGCCTTTATTCCTGCAGCAGAAATGCTCCACAGCGAGAAAAATCGAAAAAGAGCTGATGAAATATTAAATTCGTATTTATCGATCAGAAAAACCAACAAATTTGGTTTATTCCCAAGATCAGTGTCTGTTAAGAACGGTATGAAGATATTAGACGGAACAGTTGTGTTTCCAACAAGATTATTTGAAAGTTTGTTTATTTTGTACAGAAAAACTCATGATAAGAAGTATAGAGACATTGCATGGGATATACATACTAACTACACCAAGCAATTCTATACTGCAACTGGTTTTACGAATTTGAAATTATCTGAAGACGGAAACAACATAATGAAGGAAGGAGGAGTTGTAGATCCGAAGATTTTAGGTGCATACTACACATATTTGTACCTTTTGTTCTCTGATTCAACAGAATTACCGTTGGAAGATTGGACTTTCACTTGGAATGGCCATCCACTAAGAAATGTTAGGAGTATTAGGTATTTCGACTTCAGATTAACACCTAGAGATGATTTCTTCTTTTTAAGATAGAAAAAATTAGTAAAATTATTTGTTGTTTGTTTTTTATAAAATCTTAACATATTTAGAATATATAACTCTTCATAAGAAAGTTATCTTATCATATTTGGAATCCAAAATCTTAAGTCCATTTAAAAATTCATTCAATTCTCGATATCCTGATTGAGGATCTATATCATGCAATAGTACAAAAAATCATAGAGGCAATAAGTAAAGGATAAATGATATGCAAATTCAAATTATGTCGATATTTCTTTTATTTCTAGTGAAATATCCCCAAAAAACAAGCAAATTTAATGAAATTTGTCGTTTAATGTGCAAACAAAGCTAAATCTACTCATTTTTATTCATTTCTATAGTTAACGCCGAAGGTAACTGATGTAAAATTTTTGTCAAAAATGAGTGAGAGTCCGTTAGACGCCCTTAGAACCATATCTGATGGATCAAATTATATTATGGCTCTTAGTAGCATCCACAGGAACATTAAGCCAGATGAAATTGAAGAGTTTTTCAACATTGTTTTTGGACACCTTCAAGATAGTGTTGCAGAAGACATTGGAATGCGCACACTTCAAACAATAGCTCGCGTTCTTCAATTAAAGTCATTCCGCGAAGTTTTCATCGAAAAACAATATATTCATGCACTTCCATACAACCAAAAGAACTTAAATGATGGTGTTCTTGATGTTCTCTATGTTCTTGTTACCCATGCTCCACAAGCTTTCGATCAGGAAGCAGCTGATGGCTTTGCACGTGCAATTGTCCGTAATCCAAGGAAATCACTGATCATATTATCAATTTATGCTACATACTTCGACCAACTCGAGAACCCATGGCCACTTCTCGATGACTTAATTCAAGGCCAGCGTAGATTCTCAGTAGACGCCTGCGCCAAGGAATACTGCTTACTTCTTGCATATCTTGTTACAGAACACCTTGGCTTCCGCCGTGGCCGTTCTAAACAAGCTTTCGACTGCGTTGCCCAAAATCTCGAATCTGATAGCGAAGAAGTCGTTATTGCTGCATACAGTGCACTCGCTTCCATCGTATCTGTTGAACAGAACGTTATCATACCATTCCGCGAAGTTCGTTCTCATCTTGCTTATCGTTATCCAGATCAAGATGTCCATCCATTCCAAGATGCCGTTTTAGACTTCCTTCTTGTTGCTCCTCTCAACTGGGATGATCTTGCTAACCCCAAGTTCCTTTCCACCCTTCTTGAACTCGCAAAAACTGAAGCAAAGGCTTCTTTAGTTCTTTGCCGCCTTGCAGAGGATGTAAAGGTCGCACAAGCTCTCGTTGACAGCCCAAGATGGCTAAAGAGAGAGCTCCCAACATCAAAGGATACTTTGAGGCTTTTCTTAGTTGTTTTCAAGCATTTGCCAATGCGTCCAATTATTGCTCGCAAAGAAGAGTTCATTTCATTCTTAAGACGTGTAAATGCATACGCTGATGAGCCAGACCACTCTCTTCTCTGCACAATTATTCGTAGAATCAATCTTGACAAGGAATTAGTTTCACAACTTTCCAAATCAGGTTTCATTGCAGAATATCTCGGTAACGCTGATGACTTCAAGACAGATAACGCCGCTTACAGTGCAATTTTGTTTACAGATACAATCTGCAAAGATTTCTATACAAAAGAGTTAATTCCTATGTGCGAAACCGTATGCCAAATCATACAAAGTGGCGGTGACAACCAGCCTGCTGCCATCAAACTCGCTACAGATATGTGCAGACATGCGAAATGCGTCAGAAAGTTCCAGGAGCTTAAGCTTAACACATATCTTAAGAACAGGATCTCTAAGATGAAAAACAGAGGACACATAAGAAAACTTATTGGCCTCATCGAAGGCTTGGAAGAATAAATTTAATCGTTTATTTACATGCTTTTGCTTTTTTGAAGTATACGATTTGAAAGCTTGTAGTCTCACAACTTTACTCTTAATCGTATTGGCTAGTTTGTGAAAATTTTTGACGAAACAACTAATGAAGGTATTTACAACAACGAGGGATAATCAGCTCATAGATATTAGTAGCATGTCTATACGCATTTGGTATTGCAATATAAGTTATAACGAATAAAATAGAGCAACGAATACACGAAAAGTGGGCGGAGGTTTTTGTGATATGGAAAAATGTTCGTTGCTCAATTATCTCACTATTGGATGGACTTTTATCGAGCGAAATTTTGGCTGTAAAGACAATTCTGATATTGGTAACATGGTGATAAGAACAAATAGTCAGTTTGCATGGTTTATGATGAGATAATTTCGATTTAAAAAAAAATATAAAAATTGATTTTAATGAGCGATTATATTTGAATATGCTCTCCTAATTTGAAGGAACTGGTTAAATCATGAATTGATCATGAATAATTTTTTTTCAAAATAACAATTATAATTTCATATTCATTATAAGTTGAAAATATATCATAAAGACTTTATGAATGATAAATTCCTAAAAAACAAGTTAGTTTGTTTCTGAAAATAATAATAATAATAAAAACCAATTTAGACACAATAATTTTTGGCGGGATAATTGAGATGTTACGATTGAATTAAAAAAAAAGCGGTAATACATTTTTACAATGATGAAGAGGCTGGCAACCTCTGAGTCAAAGCACTTGTTAATGCAATGATGAAGAGGCTGGCAACCTCTGAGTCAAAGCACTTGTTAATGCAATGATGAAGAGGTTGGCAACCTCTAAGTCAAAGCACTTGTTAATGCAATGATGAAGAGGTTGGCAACCTCTAAGTCAAAGCACTTGTTAATGCAATGATGAAGAGGCTGGCAACCTCTGAGTCAAAGCACTTGTTAATGCAATGATGAAGAGGTTGGCAACCTCTAAGTCAAAGCACTTGTTAATGCAATGATGAAGAGGTTGGCAACCTCTAAGTCAAAGCACTTGTTAATGCAATGATGAAGAGGTTGGCAACCTCTAAGTCAAAGCACTTGTTAATGCAATGATGAAGAGGTTGGCAACATCTGAGTTAAAATACTTTTCCCAGTGTGGGAGTAATTTGAAAAAAAAAATTTAGTTCATATATTGAAAAAAACAAAAGTAAAAATTAAAGTTTATAGGTTGTGTTTTGATGAGCTAATTGTTAAGATATTGTAGTTCTAAAGAAAAATTTGAGGTGTGAGGAAGTTTTGACAGGCAAAGTGCAATATTGATAGGTGATTGCACTTTGCCTGTCACATACATCTCGACAGAGGCAACATTCGATATGAAAGTTTCCTCTGTCGAGAAACTTCCTCACACCTCAAGAGATGCGAGGAACTTTTGACAGGCAAAGTGCAATATTGATAGGTGATTGCATTTTGCCTCTCCAAACTCTCAAATATGCTTCTCACCATACATCAAACGGGCAAATTTCTCCTTAAATTTCTCTTTATTTGAAAGGTTTTCAACAAAGCTATACCTTAAAAATCTGTGCTTGTTATATCTGATCATTTGTGTGTTAGGGGAGGTAAATTTATTCCACTAGAGCAAATTTTTTCCGAGGTTTCTCATCGAATGAGAAACCTCGGAACAACTCTTCAATAGTGTAATGAATTTGTGGTATTTGTCCTGCAAACAGCGAGAGAACTTGTCTGTAATTCGTTTATGATGAAGTTATCTGGATGTCTCTCAGATGAGGAAGGAAGTCCAGAAAACTTCACCATAAGTTAATACTTGTGTATTTCTATGACTCTCTTCACGTCAGAGAATGTAAATTTACTCGAATAGGGCAAAGTTCTGCTCAAGTTTCTCATTTGATGAGAAACCTCGGAAGAACTTTGCCCTAAGGTAATGTATATGTGATTGTTGGCCCGCAGAGAAACAAGGAATCTGTTTGTATTTCGTTTATGGTGAAGTTCTCGGATGTTCTCTCAAATTATATGGAAAATCAAGATAACTTCACCATAATTTGTTGTAGTTGTGATTCTCTGGCTCTTTGCCGGCCAGAAAACTAGAAAATAGTTTATAGTGGGAGTATGCTCGATGAATACCTACTCACTAAAAATATACGTTATTTTTTGTTTTCCTATGGGAAAATAGTTTTGATTTTTATACTATCGTATGCTTTGTTATTGCATGAATTGTCTATTTTCTTAATAAAAACTCATTTTTCCGTGTGATTCTGAATCAATGCATTCCAAAAAAGCGTTTTCCGCCTTTGAAACGTGAAAACACACATTGCATGAAGAATCAGAGAAGATTTTCTATCTTTCAATTTTTTAGACTTATTGAAATTTGATAATAACTCCAAATTAAGCTGATAAACTCATAGAGCACATAAAATAACACATGCCTATCATATTTGAATTTTCTAAAAATCTCCAAAAAAATCGCGTTTTAAAAATTTCGTAGTTAAAAAGTAAATTTTTCACGATAAAAAAACTATAATTGGTTTTTTTTGGAATTCTTCGAGTTAGAAAATCTTCTCTGATTCTTCATGCAATGTGTGTTTTCACGTTTCAAAGGCGGAAAACGCTTTTTTGGAATGCATTGATTCAGAATCACACGGAAAAATGAGTTTTTATTAAGAAAATAGACAATTCATGCAATAACAAAGCATACGATAGTATAAAAATCAAAACTATTTTCCCATAGGAAAACAAAAAATAACGTATATTTTTAGTGAGTAGGTATTCATCGAGCATACTCCCACTATAAACTATTTTCTAGTTTTCTGGCCGGCAAAGAGCCAGAGAATCACAACTACAACAAATTATGGTGAAGTTCTCTTGATTTTCCATATAATTTGAGAGAACATCCGAGAACTTCACCATAAACGAAATACAAACAGATTCCTTGTTTCTCTGCGGGCCAACAATCACATATACATTACCTTAGGGCAAAGTTCTTCCGAGGTTTCTCATCAAATGAGAAACTTGAGCAGAACTTTGCCCTATTCGAGTAAATTTACATTCTCTGACGTGAAGAGAGTCATAGAAATACACAAGTATTAACTTATGGTGAAGTTTTCTGGACTTCCTTCCTCATCTGAGAGACATCCAGATAACTTCATCATAAACGAATTACAGACAAGTTCTCTCGCTGTTTGCAGGACAAATACCACAAATTCATTACACTATTGAAGAGTTGTTCCGAGGTTTCTCATCGAATGAGAAACTTCGGAAAAAATTTGCTCTAGTGGAATAAATTTACCTCCCCTAACACACAAATGATCAGATATAACAAGCACAGATTTTTAAGGTATAGCTTTGTTGAAAACCTTTCAACGAATGAGAAAGTTAGGAAAAACTCTACCTTATAAGATCAACTATAGAATTCATAGCTCTTTGAATACTAGGAAACATTAATGCAGTAGTTTAAGGCAAAGTTTTTCCGAGATCTACGAAGGATAGAGAGATCTCGGAAGAACTTTGCTCTGCACAAGTAATTTCAGAATCTATGGTCCTCTAAGGACCAGAGGACGGTAATGTAAAAGAATGATGTCAATAGCAGATAAATAATAGCCTTAGAAGTTCAATACGTGCACAGTTTGACTACATTGCCCTAGTAGTTAGACTGTACAGGTATTGTACTTCTGGCCTAAAAAATCCTCATTGAAGACAATAGGTAGAAACTCAAATTGTTGATAAATATCCCAAAATATCATAAGAGAGCCCATTATTGTTACCTGGCTCCTTCCTGGCTTTCAAAGTCTGTAAACGAGAAGTCTTGGCTCTTGTGGTAATTGCTTCCAAGAGGTTTACTCAATTCGAGTAAAACTATAAACCCTGTAACTGACATGTACTTCCTTGAATGGGCATTAAAAGTAATTTAACCTAACGAATAGTAACATGACCACTATTTTGATGACTAAGAAATGTAATTCATCAAATTGGCAGTTCGATGAATGATACCATGCAATCAACAACTGGTTTGTTACAATTTGGCTTGATTCATCAAATTGGCGGTTTGATGAACCGAATATTGTAATCCAGACTAGGTCAGTTACAATTTGGCTTGATTCATCAAATTGGCGGTTTGATGAACCGAATATTGTAATCCAGACTAGGTCAGTTGCTTGTTGGTCATAGATAATAATGACACCTTTCAGTTTTTGTTAAACATCTCAATTATCCCGCCAAAAATTATTGGGTCTAAATTGGTTTTTATTATTATTATTTTCAGAAACAAACTAACTTGTTTTTTAGGAATTTATCATTCATAAAGTCTTTATGATATATTTTCAACTTATAATGAATATGAAATTATAATTGTTATTTTGAAAAAAAATTATTCATGATCAATTCATGATTTAACCAGTTCCTTCAAATTAGGAGAGCATATTCAAATATAATCGCTCATTAAAATCAATTTTTATATTTTTTTTTAAATCGAAATTATCTCATCATAAACCATGCAAACTGACTATTTGTTCTTATCACCATGTTACCAATATCAGAATTGTCTTTACAGCCAAAATTTCGCTCGATAAAAGTCCATCCAATAGTGAGATAATTGAGCAACGAACATTTTTCCATATCACAAAAAATCTCCCCCTAAAAGTGACATGAATAAATTGATAAAATTTGTATCCTCTCAATTTTTAATCTCAAATCAAAAAACTGTCAAGTACTGTATTTTAGAGAACATTTATTTCGGCATGATTTATCATAATTAACTTTTTTGGATAACAAAACGAAAAACTTTTTTATCACTTCACCGGATTTACAATTCAGAACAACTATCGTCAATTTTGGTCCAAATTTTAGTGTTTATAAAATGTAATGATGGATAAACGCAAAATAATTTTCAAAAGAAAAACGATGAAGGTTGGCAAAATCACTTTTCATACAGATGACCAAACATCAGGTATGCATGATCGGCTCCGGCAACATGGGTTCCGCCATGGCAAAAATCATCGGCTCCAACGTTGCTAACATGCCAGAGTTCGACCCAATCGTTAAAATGTACACATATCCAGAAAAGCTCGATGATGGCAGCAATATCGTCGATTCTATCAACGAGTTCCATGAGAACAAGAAATACCTCCCAGGAGTTCCTCTTCCACACAACGTTCTTGCTGTTGGTGACGTTAAGGAATCCTGCAAGGGCTGTGACTACATTGTCATTGTTACACCACACCAGTTCCTTCCAGGCCTTCTTAAGCAGATGATTGGCCTCATCCCAGAAACAGCAACAGCTATTTCTCTCATCAAGGGCGTTACACTCAAGGACGACTCAATTTCTACAGTTACAGACACAGTTACAGAGATCCTTGGCATCCCATGCGGTGCTCTCATGGGTGCTAACATCGCCAACGACTGTGCTCACGAACAATTCTGCGAATCCACAATCGCCTTCAAGGATCCATCTCTCGGTGAGCTCTGGAAGCCAATCTTCAACACACCAGTCTTCAGAATCAAGGTTATCGATGACCTCGTTCTTCAGCAGCTTTGCGGCACATTCAAGAACATCTACGCTACAGGTGTTGGCTTCCTCGATGGCCTTGGCCTCGGTGAGTCAACAAAGGCCGCTTTCATCCGCATTGGTATGGAAGAAACCTTCAAGTTCGCTAACTGGTACTTCCCAGATTCCGGATGCAAGATGGAGACACTCCTTGAATCCTGCGGTGTCGCAGACTTCATCTGCACATCATACGGTGGCCGCAACCGCAAGTGCGCTGAGGCCTTCGTAAAGACAGGCAAATCTCTCGAAGAACTCGAGAAGGAAATCCTCAACGGCCAGAAGCTCCAGGGTGTTCTCGCTGCTAAGGAAGTCGCTACACTCCTTAAGATCCGTGGAAACTTCAAGGAATATCCACTCCTTGTTACAATCCACATGATTGCTACAAAGCAGATCGAACCAAAAATGATCCTCGAGTACGATGGTGACCACGTTGATCAGTTAAAGGTTGAGTAAGAAAATTAATACAGTTAATCGTTATCTTACAAGATCATGAAGACATTCAAGCGAAATAAATGATAGTTTGGAAGAAATGTTTATTACTTTTTACTGCTGATGCAATTTATATTATTCAAATCTTTCCTATAGCTTTTATAATCAAATTATTTTTTTTTATTACTGAAAGATTTATTTGATAACAGAAGTACTTCAATTTTTCCAAGTCAAAAGTTAGAGCAATTAATTATATACATACAATAATGCAAGGGCGTTGAATTATTATACAATTATCGGATCTATTCTGTTTCCTACAGTCGAAAGAATAATATCAAATATCATTATTTAGTCGTTGCTCAGAAATGGATACTTCTTTTTATCGTTAACTTAGATTTATCAGCATTAGACATAAAATCTTCATTAGTGAAATGATTAAGACCCTAATGGCATGAAAATGGTTTGAAAAACTTTTTGTTGTGGCACCTAAAAAGATTGTATTATTTCAATATAAGAAATTTTTGTAAACTTATTTGTAAATTTTATATTTTCCAAAGAAAAATCGCTTACTGCTCCTTCATGTACTTCTTCATTTGTTGGACGCGAACATAATCGATGTAGTATCTTCTTGGGAAGTCCTTATCATCGATTGGACCGCCTGTAGCGCCAAGAGCGAGGTTAAGGATAAGGAATTGTGGTGCCTTGAATGGATTCATGACTGGTGAGCCTGCTGGGTTAAGAGTTCTAGAAAGTAAGACACAGTTCAATAATTCGTCATCGAGGTAAAGCTTGATAGCTCTCTCATCCCAGTCCATTCTCCAAACGTGCCACTTCTCATTCCAGAATGGATCCTGTCTAAGCCAGTACTCCTTGAAATATACTCTGCGTGTCTCCCAAACATTATCGCCCCAGCAGAGGTTGCCTAATGTGTCATCAGTGTAGTACTCGAGGAGGTCGACTTCGCCTGTTGATGGCCATTCGCCATGAGCCGCCAGAAACTGGGATCTTTCCTTTGACTAAGAAGCGTCCATACAACCAATCCTTCTTCTTATCTGTGATAACAGAAGATGAAGTATAATTAATCCATTTTCTCATCTTTCTGTAATCAACCTTTTCGTTTGGATCATACCATGGGTTTGGTAAGTCATGCTCCTTGCGGCCTTCAATGATCAAAGAGCCGTTGGCAACATAAGTGTTTTCTGGTTGATACCATTCCATTTCCTGGTTTCTGACGAAACCATGCTCATAATCCCACTTTGTTGGATCTGGTGTGCCATCCTTGTCGAATTCATCACCCCAGACATCTGTGTATGTGGCTTCATCAGCTTTCTGCTGTGCAATATCAGCAAAATCTTGCTTTGTTGCAATAGCAAGCTTAAATGTTGATCCACCTTTGAATGTTCTATCATCTTTGTTCAAAACAACACCACGTTCTTCTTCATAACACCAAAGTGGCAATCCATCCTTGTGAACGATGATATATGAGTCATCCTGATATAATGGAATAACCTCGTATAATGAAGCATCTTTTTCGTAGGCGTTTTGAGTATATTGAGATTCTCCTTCTTGATAAGGGATTACTGTTTGCATGTATAAATTAGTGGCATGGTTACGAATCTTATAGTATTCCTTTCCGTCTACAACATTTAATTCAAAATGCCAAAGTGCATTTTCATCAGGTGTGGCATCAAAGTATTTCAATGTTGCACCAGGTATTGGTTTAGTGTTATAAATGACTCTACCATTTCGATCATCATTTGTATTTAAAATGATCCACATAGCAAGCCTAGGTAGAATCATTTTTAATTAATAACTTTGAAACCGATAAGAATTTCTTTTGAATTCTCTCAATTGTTGAAAAAATCAAAATGTGGATCAAACTCAAAAAAAAAAAAAAAAAAAAAAAAAAAAAAAAGGTAGTGGGGCTTCCAGGCACTTCGTGCCTTCTAGCCCTGAGGATGAATGAGTATAATGAAGTTTTTTTTTTCTTGGGGTGAGCTTCCAGGCGCGTTGCGCCCTCTAGCCCACATAAATGAAGTTCTTATATATACGGGTCTTCCAGGAGCTTTTCACAAATTATATATGTTTTCATGTTTTGTCAAGACTTCTTCGTAAATGTTTTGTCAAGACTTCTTCGTAAATGTTTTGTCAAGACTTCTTCGTAAATGTTTTGTCAAGACTTCTTCGTAAATGTTTTGTCAAGACTTCTTCGTAAATGTTTTGTCAAGACTTCTTCGTAAAATCAGACAAAAATAATGTTTAGGGTAGAAGGTTAGATATAACCTCTTTTCTAACCTCTTTTCTACCCTCTTGAATTTGTCAAGATTTCTTCGTAAATGTTTTGTCAAGACTTCTTCGTAAATGTTTTGTCAAGACTTCTTCGTAAAATGTTTTGTCAAGACTTCTTCGTAATGAGTGTAAATGACCAAACCGACAACACTTTGACCGAGTAGTTTTTTGTGCTGAACAAAAAGTGTCATAACAAAGAAATTTTATTAGTAAGTAAATGTGGTTTGAAATAGGACTACTTGTTTTAGGTTTTTTCCATTGTGTCATTTATTTATTTGACGTGGCAGAAAAGTACAGAGAATATGAAGATGAACCAATGCCTGCAAATGTTCAGTATATGTACTCGTAAGAGATATTTTTATCTAATATTAAATGGACGCACAGAACTTAGCGAATGCACAGCAACCTGGACAACCAAACCCAGAGAATATTCCAAATGAAGTTAGAATACAAACTGCAATGGCAAACTATGGTCAAGTGCCAACAGATGTACAAATGCAAACTGCCATGTCAAATGACGCTGCGTTAGGTTTGCCACCATGGTATGCAAATATGAGATGGAAAGAGTTTTATACAAACCCTGAAGTGGGATATAAACAACTCTATGCAGATGACGCGAACACAGGAGTTGACCCAGAGTATGTTTTCTACCAGAGGAGAAATAGAATGTATGAGCTCCAGTTAAAGAATGCTATGGAACTCAACAGGAAACGTAAGAGACTAGGCGGACATTAGATTTTTACATATAGTAAAATGGGTTTCTTCAGTAGTATTGGAAACTTCTTCAGAAGAGTTGGAAGAGGTATATGGAATGGAATAAAAACCGTAGGAAGAGGAATTTGGAACGGAGTCAAAAATATTGGTAAAAGGGTAGGTCAGTTCGTTGGTATTATACCTAAAGACCCTGAACCAGAAGAACAAGCTCCTGTTATACAACAGCCTGAACCTGCACCACAGTCTAGTTGGCAACCAAATCAACACCTCAACCGTATTAAAATTATATTTTTACCGTTCGATAGTAGTTGTATATGAAACTAAGTTCTAAGTAAAACGCATGGTTATAATGGAATTATTCTTTTTCTTCCATCTGTAGTAAACCATACTTGAAAGTCTGAAATACTTCCACTTGGTGGTTCGTATAACTTTGTAGGTTTTTCGTAAAAGTCATTTGCCAAGCATAAGAAAGAGTTTTGGGCGCCAGAAAAATGAAGCATGAACAATAATAGCAGCTGGGTCGAAAACATCTTTAAATAAATATGGTTCATATCTCTTGCATATCGACTGTAAATATTGCTAAAGGAAGTTCGACTTTCTGATTTTAACATTCTTTGCAAATAATACCATGACATTGCAGTGAATTCTGTAATAATTTGTTCGTCTTTCTTTGGATTGTCTTCGTAGATTTGAAATGACACTTGTGAATTTTGTTTGTCATATACAATTCTCACATAAAGTGTGCTCTCGGTATTTGCATATTCATCAGCATATTTTGCATAACATGAATTTATTTTATCTTCTATATTTTAACGCAGTCTGTAGAGAAGATGAAAGGTCAACTTGTTTAGCTCAATTTCTTCCCACATTTTTCGTTTCCCTTCAGATATATAATCTATATGAAACCTTACAATAAATGGAAAACTTTTATCTTCTACAGACACAAACTTCAATTCTACGAAAGCCAATAGCTTTTGTGACAGATGGGTCTCTTAGCCATCTTAATGGTAGTCAAAACGATAGCCTTCATGCTTTACGGTCTCTGTCTCAAACTTTTGACCGACATTAGTAAAAAGTTCATCTAATGGTTTAGTTGTAGCAACTCTTGAATTTTCTTTTTCTATTGGAAGCATATTTTATCTAGAATAAAAAAATGTCAAATGAAACAGCGTCTATGAGAGAAATACAACACAACCGACAACTCATTATGCAAAGCTCTAAATAAGAACACAACAAACTTTTCAAACTATTCTAAGATATCTGAGTCATTGAAAGAAGGAAACTTAAAACTGACATTAAACCCAATGACAGATGAGTTTCTGTTTTCAAGACAATAAGAACCATACTGTCTGTATAAATCCAACAAAAGGAACTTTAAACGAGAAACCTATAAATGAACTTCTTTTGAAAACAGATGTTGACAACAAAGCTGACAAAGAATATGTAGACGATGCAATAGCAAAAGAAGAAGAAAGAGCTAACAATGCTTATGCAACAAAAGAACATACTCATCCTGAACTAGCAGACAAAACATATGTTGACAATAAAATGTCAAGTGAAGTGACAAGAGCTGAAAACGAATATTCTAAAAGACTCATACACATTCTATATCTGAAATAACAGACTTACAAGAAACCTTAAACAGGAAAAGTGCCGTTGGACATACACATACATCTTCTGAAATAACAGACTTAAACGTTAGCCTTGAAAAGAAAGCAGATAAAACATATGTCAATGAATATACCAAAGTTTAGTTGGAACAAAAAATATTGAAACTATTGTTGGTGACTTTTCTGTCAATGAAGAAAACAATATTTTAGATGGGAGTTTGTACAGTCCTTAAGAAATGGTATACGGTATAAACTCATTCCGAAAAATAACAATGAAATGTATGTAAGCTATAAAAAGAACGATGGTACACAAGTTAAAGTTCCATTAGACAACAACTGCTACTTAAACTTATATGGAGACGAACAAAAGAAATATTTAAGAGTTTATGAAATGACAGATATGACATTGCCTGACCCAGCTCCAGCACCATATTATATATGACTATGGAGATGACGTCAGAACACCACATGTAGATGAACAAAAGCTAACATTATATTAGATTTTATAGATATAAAAGATATAATGCAATAGAAAAAACGAGAATAGTATACTATTATGAAGATGACAGAAATAAATATTATAGTCAAGACTTTACCTACCCTGAAAAACATAAGATTATATTATAAAAAATATTCTGACACAAACCAGAAGAAACCTGAAATAGTTGCACTATATTTTTAAGTTCAAAAGAGACAACCTATAATATCTCATATGTTTGATTTAATGAACCCAGTAGGTTCTATTTATACATCTATGGAAGCAAGAGGTCCTCAAGTAATGTTTGGTGTTGGTGCATGGGAACAAATAGTCGACAGGTTTTTGTATTGTGCAAACTCTTCAAAGGAAACAGGTGGAAGTAAAACGATTTCAGGTGAAAATTTACCTGCACACAGTCACTACATAGATTTAAGTACATCTCAAGCAGGTTGGCATAAGCATAGATATTGGGATTGGTCAGGAATGACAAAAGGTAAAGGATATGATGTTAAAGACGACGTTAAGTTTGCTATAAATTGTTACTGGGATGACACTCAGGGAGAAGGAAACCATACACATTTCGTTTCAGGATATACGCAAACAACGGGACAAAGTAAAGAATACATGCCACCTTACATGACAGTTTACGCATGGTATAGAATTGCTTAGTCGTCATTTTCAACTTCTTTAGCATATTCGTCAGGAGTTGTCTTATATTTGTTAGGAACTGTCTTTGAAAGTATACCACCTTGAACTTTGACAAGTTTGAAACGAGGTCTGACAATAGTAGTTTTATCTTCTGCTTGCAGTCTGTACATTTTGCCATGTTTGCCTAAAACTTCATAATATTCTCTTGTATACTTTCTTCTATTTTTACGAACACGAATGTGAGTACCTGTCGGGTACTTGTTGTTGTCATAGTCAATAGTATTTTCATATGGGTCGCGTTTAGGTATTTCTATTTTTACTTTGTCACCTTTCTTAAGTTTGAAGCCTGGCATTCTTTCTTGTTTGTCTCTTTTGACTAAATTGTTAAATATAAAGTCTTTCTCTAAGTCGGGGTTGTTTTTCATTTCTTCGGGGGAGTGGTTTCCCAAACCTTTTTGTTTACGGTTATTGTAAATATTTAAAACTTGTCTCATCTTTGCCATGGAGAAATGTCTATACTTGTCGTCATATGACATTTCATTTGCTTCACCACCTTGTGGTTGGTTTAAGTCTCTTAAGATTTTTATACAACTGTCAATGACACCAAGAGCAGAATGGTTTTGGTCGACAATGAAATATTGGTTTACATTTTTTGAACGCAGATAGTTTTTAATATCGTCTGATTTGAAAGAACTTTCACAGTCAGATGTCAGTTTTGTTGGATGGTATTTGTCAACGAATATTGTCAAAGCAGTTTTCACATCTAAAATATTTTTGGACCATAATGGTATGGCTTCACAGTATCTTGTGTTTTGACCGACAAATATTAGCCAGTATGGTGGTCCATCTTCTCTATACCTCGGAATGTTTTCCAAGATATCCATAAACCAAGCATTTGGTGTTGAACTAAAGATTTTTATCATGAGTGCTTTCTTTGTTGCCTTAGAAACATAGGGGTCCTTGTTTGGATTCGTCATTTTTACCCTATAAGAAATGGGTTTATTTGGCGCATTAGCAGGAGTTGCATCCAGATTTTTGCCCGCAGTGGGAACAATAGCCAG